TCTGTGCTTAGGAAAAGCCCCAACCTTGCAAGCACGCAGCCCGGCGCAAGGATCGCGCACCACGACTGCAACATTTTGGGCTCCGTCACCGTACGGTGTTGCCTTGAGCAAATCCCTTCTGCCTCAGCTTCCCTGTTGAGCCAAGCAGCGTTAAGGCTATTTCATGCTGCCTTAGAGCTGGGGCTGTGCTAAAATGAGGTTCATCAAGACTGGGGAACGTGTGATGGGCACAGGCTTAAAACTGTAGGCTGGGTAGATCTCCGGATGAAAGGTGCTGCGTAAGTGCAAATTATTATTCTTGTTAATAATGATGTCCACCAGCTCACATTTATCTGCTCTTCAATTAACTTTTTTTTAAGGACTCTTAACAGGTTAGAAAGACACAAATTTTTCCTGGCAGAACCTGTGCTGGTTTGACCCCGTAAGGTTATGCAATTACTGTACTGGCATGGTCCTTAATTAGACTCTCCATAATTTTCCCCGGCACAGCGGTGTGGCTCGCTGCTCTGTAATTCCCAGAATCTCCTTGGATCTGATAGGCATCGCCTTCGCTGCTTTCCAGGCTTCAGGGATAATTGCTTGCTCTTAGGGACACTTTGCACGTCGCAGGACCTCCTCCCCATCCTACAAGGCTTCAAAGTCCCCTTGGCCAGCTCGGTGAGGGAGCACCGAGCCACCACGGTGCTCCTTGGTGTCCATGAAAGCTGACTCGATCCCAGACTGGATCCTTCACCCTTTGTTGTTCTCCATCCTTTTTCTCCACTCCTAGACCCCACAACATGTTTGGGATGCAACACGATGCTCTTTGGTTTCTGTAGGCAGAGCTGGGGCAGGAACCTAATCCTGCTGGGTCCGTGGGTGTCCTTGGCAAGCTGCGCTCTCCCACGGCTTCCAGTTTAGTCCGAGGGCTTTGGGGCTTGGAGACTGCTTCTTCCCTTGGATCTGCAGCCCCTGAGGGGTCTTGAATGCCACCTTTTACATATATGTTAAAAATATTTGAGGCGTATTTCCCCATCATTGCTCACGGTGACGGATGCTTCCTGCAGTGATTTATTTCTCCCCCTCCCTGGGCTCCCTTCTTGCAGATATTCGGGCAGGTTGGTGGTGTGACGCAGCTCCAAGTCATGCTCTTCCTCTCTTTAGGCGACAAGGGATCACTCCTGCCCCACCATCGCATCCTCACCAGCAGATTTTGGGCAGGAGCAGGTACTCCAGGAGGGATTTAGGGTGGTCGGTGCCTCCTTGGCAGGAGCCGTTTGGGTGGACGAGGCCCTTTGGGTGATGGGTTTGTAGGCACAGCCAGGCTCCGGGCTCTGTGCCCCAAACTCTCAGTAGGGTTTTGCAGCTGGAGAAGAGGCTTGGTGCTGTGCTTTCAGCCCAGGTCCGAGGCTGCTGAGCGTGGTCCTGGCCACGAGTGGGACCTGTGGGGTTTTGTCCCTGCTCCTGCCCAGGTGCTGTGACCCTGCCCTGTGCCAGGAGGATGGACGGGATGGACGCTGCCCCTGCCCGTCTGGCCAGCCCAAAATTCCTCTCTCCCTACCCACCCACTGGCTATAAATAACAAATAATAACATCTCCCAGGCTGGCAAGCTATTTGGGGTTTTGTGGGTTTTTCTGCTTTGTTTTGCTTTTTTGCATTTAGGAAGTAACTTTTCATAGAAACCGATATTATTTTTTTTTTTCTCACCGGATTCCTCATTGTCCCGGGACCGAAATGTTTTTACAAAGCATGGCCCAGGTGAGCGCGGGGGCAAACGGGGAGCTGCAGGGGGGTGAAACTGGGAGCTGAGCTCTGCTGGATGCGGCCAGGGCTTGCTCAGGAGCATCGCAACTTCTGGGCCCCCCCTCCCTCCTCTTCCTTTCCCTGAATATCATTGAATGCAAAATGCTTTAGTGCATTAATTTCAGACTGAATGTAAATAAGCCATTTGGACTTCTCCCAGTTGAGCAAACTTTCAAACCAGGATTTTGCTTTCCTCTCCGCCAGCCTGGCTCGTGGGATTGGAAGGATTTGCTTCAGCGCTGTCTCTTCTGCACTTGAAACCACTTAATCAAGCTCTGAAATATCCCTCGAATAGGTCAGACAGGCACCTGATTGGGACAGGCGGCGTGTAAGGGAAAACCGAGAGAGATTACGCGCCCGTTTTATCTGCATGAAGCAGATTAGACAGCTCCCAAACTAAATATTGCTGCAAGGTAGCGTGTTGTTCATGGCAAACGCCTCGCTAGCCCGTCTCTGTTTGTGTCTCCGTCCAACACCATCTCTTCCCTGCCCTGGGACGTGAAAGGGAGAGGAGACGCGAGGCTCCTGAGCTCCTCCACGTCAGCCGGTGCCAGCTTTGGGTGCTCCTCAGGTCCCAAAGAGCTCAGATGTGGCTCCAGATGTGTCCGAGGCCCTCTCCTGCCACCAGATTTCTCCCTTTCTGCAGCCAAAGGCACCGCTCAGCCGGCGGGGGAACAGCTCGTCCCTTGCGCTCGGCTGCAGCTGAGAAAACCCAAGGGGGAGCCATGGGAAAACCTGGGAGGATTTAACCCAAAAATGCAGCTGCGGCGTCGCCTCTTCCCACATCCTCCGTGCCTGCCAGCTGGGGGGCTGAGCACCACGGGGACGAAGGAAAGCCACCCATGGGACACCCGCAGTCACCCTGGGCGCAGGGGTTCTTGTTTGTGCTGCCGGGCGGCTGCTGGGACGCTGCCGTGTCCTCCTGCTTGTGCCCAGGGATTTTGCAGATGGGTCAGCTCAGTCCTGAGGGCTTGTTGGGAACAAAATGCGTTTCCAAGGCATGCGTGTGCTCAGCACAAAAGTGCTGCACGGGGTCCAACCCAATCCCGGTTTCCCCCCGGTCCCAAAACGCTCATTTTGTGCCTTTTGCTTTGCGAAAGTCTTGTGAGATCCTCGGTGAAAGGCAAGGGGAGCTCACAGCTCTCTGACATCCACCAGCTCTTTCCCCTTCTCCCTCCTTTTTTTTTATTTCCCCAAGCCCTGGGCTGTTCGGTGGGCACCAGAGCTCAGCGCTTTCTTGGGGCTTTTGCAGAGGAGCTGCACATCCGTCGGCCTCCCTAAATCCACGTGTACCCGACGGCACTGCAGTGATTTACTGAAGCCCCAGCTGGTATTTTAAACACTGTGTTACCTCTGCTCTCCTAAAGCCCCCGGGGGCGATCTCCCCATGTCACTTTGGTTTCCCCCTGGGATTTTCCAGGAGGCTTCCTCGCGCTCCTCACCCCACGGATTGGGGCAGCAGGGATGGGACCAGCTTTACCCGAATTTCTCTCCCGTCTATTTCTGTCCCTCTCCTGGCCAGCTCGTGCCAGTGGGAGGTAATTTCATCGCCAGCTTCCTCCCTCCTTCGCTGCGGTCGCGTGTGCGGGGTAATTACCCGGAGGGGCAGCGTTGCCTGCATTGAGCTCGGCCGCAGCGATGCTCAGCGCCTCGAGCCCCTTCCCGGAGACTTTTTGGATCTGTGCCCTCCATCCACGGCTCCAAATCACACCTCTCCAGCTCAGGGCTCTGTCTGGAGCTGCCCAGATCTCGGGGCGTTCGTGTCTGGTGCTAAGAGGCGTGAGATCAGACGTGGGCCAAACCCTGCAGGGCTGACTCAGGCCGGTCCAGGTCGGGGCATGACAGAGGACTCGGATGCAGCAACCTGTGGTTATTATTCACCTTCTCACCACGCCTATGCCCAAATACCTGGGGGTAGAGGACAGCCTGCTCCCTTCCCTTTCACCCCGGGCTCTCGCAGGGAACGTGTTTCTTTCCAGGGCTTGCTTGTTCCCACTCCATTTGGGTTTCCGCGCCAAATTCAGCTGGAACTGGTGGGTTTGCCTCGGTTGAGCACCAAAATCGCCACCCCTGTGGGAGTGGTTGCAGGAGAGCCACGCTCAGGGCTCTGCAGGTTTTACTCAGCAAAAAAAAATCTCCTCCACCAGGTGACTTTTGGGCCAGGGAGCAGTTCTGTGCTGGAACTCCGGGAGGTGGTTTGTAAAACAAAAACCCTGTTCCAGGAGGGGATTTTTGTCTTGGGGAGGAATCCAGAAACCAAGCTGGGGCTGGACCACCGAGCTCTGCAGGGCAGTGCTGGGGGGAAACTGAGGCAGGGGGATGCACGCCTGGGGCTGGGCGAGCGTCGCTGCCAGCTCCTTGCAGCCCCCCTGCGACAACCCCGGGCTCCTCCTGCCCCCCCAGGGCTGCGGGTGGTGCCCCCCCTTCCCTTGTAGGGCCTCTTGTTATAGTCCCTATAATTATACGTGTGCGGTCTGCTCGCCTTCCTGCCCAGCTCCTGCCTGCAGGAATATTTTGCTCGTTATATCGAGCATCACGAAGCGGCCGAGCTCTCCTTCTTCCCCCCCCTCCTTGCCTTCCTGCATGTAGGGCCTCTTGTTATAGCTGGGAAAATGACGGGTTTTTGGTCTCCCTCCCTTCTCCCAAGCTATAATTTAGTTTTATAAAAAGTGCAGCCCAGCCCCTGTGGTGCAAGCGGGAGCTATTCCTGGGCCGGGGAGGAGGAGGGGGCTTGGGGGGGCTCAGAGCTCTGCGCCGAGCCCCGTGCAGCCCCCCCTGGGCACACCGCTTCTGCAAGAGGATGTGGGCTGCTGGGGTTTGTCCCCGTGAGGCTGCTGGGGATAAATCCACTGCTTTTGGGTTTTGCTCCCCCGTGGGGAAGACAGCGCCCTTTTCATGGGAATGGGGGGGGGAGAAACAGCTTGGGAGGCTGCGTGTAACCAGCTCCCCTCTCGTTTTTGGAGGAGGAATCTGTGACTTTGGGGAGGGTTTGGGGAGGGTGCCCGCACACCGCTGGTGTTGCAGCAGGGTGAGCGGCCCCCCAAATCCTTCACGACAGTCCCTCTGTTCCCCCAGCCATGTACTGGGGGCAGATGGCTCTGATTTACGCCCCAAAACACAACCCCTGGCATGGTCCGGCACAGTGGGCATGATGGCAAGGGGGGCGCATCCTGGTGGCACCCCGAGGCGCTCAGCTCCAACCCCATTTCTCTTGCAGAGGCGGGCGAGACCTCGCGCCCTTCGCCAGCGGCCCCCTCGGCGGAGCCCCGGCCCCCCGCTCGTCCCGCGGCCCCCAGGCAGGAGAAGTGCCCAGAAGATGAGGAGGAGTCCCACAAAGTGCTGACGAACGGCACGGCACCGGCCAGGACTGAGCTCACGGGCACTCCCGAAGCTGTGACATGTGAGTGCTCTCTCCACGGCGCTCCCCGGCAGGGCTCGGCCCGTTAATGAGCGCTGGGGCTGATTAACGAGGCGGGCAGCGGCGGTGGGAAGCCGGCTCCTCCTCACTCTGTTCTTCCCCACATCAAAGGAAAAGGCTGGGGCTGAGCGTGAGTCACTGGGAGCTGGGGAAAGCCGAGGGCGGCAGCCACCAGCCCCTGGTTTTGGGGAGAAATGGGGGCTGAGAGGAGGTTTGGGGCGCACTGGGTTAACAGCAGGGCTGGGGGCCATGGCTCTGGGTCCCGTTATGGGGCTGGGAGAGCAAAGCTGGCCGAGGGGGGAGGCTGGGGGCCAGCCCCTCCTGCAGCCACGCCATCCAGCCCTTCCCTGGCTCCCAGCCTCGGTGCTGGGATTTTGCTCACAGGCTGCCCCGTGCGCACGCGGCCGTTCCCCGTCCGCTGGACGCGAGCGCGCAGCTTCCCCTTCCAAGGGCTGGAAAGCGGGTTGATGCTTCCCTGCGGGGCAAGAGGAGAGGGTGGGAAAGAGGGGAGAGAGGAGAAGGTGGAAAGGGGGCGAGCAGAAAGTGGGAAGGGGGCCACAAACTTCACCGAGGGGGCAGGAGGAGCTGGGGGAGCGGCACACCGCGGGCGCTCCTGCCGGCGCGGCGTACGTGGAGCGAGGCGAGCGCACGTTTCCTCAGCCCCAGCTCGAGCCCTTGCAAGCATCTGGGAGCTGGGCCGGCTGCCCACAGACATTCTGCACCTCTGAGTCACGCCGCAGCCGCTGCGCCCCGTGTGGTGCGGCCCCGCGCAGCCCCCTCCCCACGCCGCGGGCCCCGGGGCCGAGAGGAGTGCAGGCACCCCGGGGGCGTGGGGTGCAGGGAACCCACCCCAAGTTCCCAAGCCCCAGGGATCCTCCAGGGAGTCCAAACCAAGCTGGTGGTGTGACCACACGGGGCCACTGCCACCCCAAGGAGCATCCCCCTGGTGTGAAACACAAAATTTCGCCCTTCCAGGAGGGTTTTGGTTAAGCACAAGCAGGATCTGTCCCATGGGCTGCTCCTCCCGGCCCTGCCACCGCCTTACAGAGCATCCCGCATCGCTCCCGGTGGCCCCAGGCTGAAGATGTCAGAAGAGCTTTCTGAGCTGTAGGCCCCCCTGAGAAATGGGAGCTCTTTTTCGTGGCTTGAAGAGGCGGGGGGGGGGGTGGCTGGCTGGCCCTCACTGCTGCTGGCTGGAGCCGGAGCGTGATTTTGATTTACAAACAGTTTAATCTGAGGAATGCAGCGAAATGGAGAACGCCAAACCCAACACACTCCGTGCTGCTGTAAGCCCTGCTGCTTCTCAAAAAAAATAATATATATTTATCATAAAATAAAGAACAGCAGGCAAACCTGCGGGCCAGTGAGTGGCTGCACTGGGCTCTGTCCCTGTCCCCTCCCCGTGGCTCTGGCCAGCCCCAGGTGCCACCATCCCCCCCAGCCCTGTGCACGATGGCACCTCGGGGGGTGCCCCTTGGAAACCAAAGGAATCTACTTGGGACCTCGGGAGCTTTTGGGGAGAAATGTCCCATTTTATCCAAGGTCCATTTACTCTTTCTCCTTTCTCCCCTCCTCCCACCCCTCCTGCTTTCAGCCCGATCTTCCAGCTCAGCCCTGCCTATTTCCAGCTCCCTCCCCAGCGCGTTTCGTGCAGTTTTCACCCAAATTCCCGGTAAACTTCCCTCCGCGGTCAGAGCCCAGCTCCCTTTTTGGAAGGGGCAGGGGCACACGCTTGTGGTTTTCAAGCCTCCATCTATTTTTGCCAGTGCAGACAGAGGTGGTGGGGCTGTGCACGGGGGGGGGCTCGGCCATGCCCCCTCCTCCTGTGGGACCCCCGTGGCCACGGTTCGCAGAAAGCAGCTACTGTTCCCCGGCGGCCAGAGGTGCCTTTGCCCTCGAGCCTCTGGGCTGAATCATCCCTTGTTTACTGGCGCAGGAGAGGAAAAAAAATCAAAGTTTGGCAAAAGCAAGGGGTGATTTGTGCCTTTGAGCGGAGCTGCTGCGCCGGGGGGCGAGCGCTCGAGCCCCTTCCCTTGGGCCTCGTGTCCGCGGGGGGGACACGGCACCGGGCAGGAGCGAGGACCAGCATGCGAGGGCTGGAGGCAGAGGCAGCCGGAGCAGATCTTTGTTCCCTCCTCCAGCAGGAAAGTTCAGCCAGAGGCTGGGGAGCCCATTCATTAGGCGGCCGTGGTGCTGAGCTCTCCAGCTTCGCCTGATCTGGCTGCCCGCAGCGCGCTGGGGACGGCCACGGGCAGCACGGGGGCTGTGCCATGGGACGGCGGCTTGGCCCTGGGGTTCCTTTTGGTGCCAGCAGGGGCTGATGCTTCTTTTCCCTTCTCGGCACGAGGGGAGCTCATCGCTCCGTGCCGCCGGTCACCCCCCGGTGGCTCCATCCCTGCTGCCTGCGCTGGCGATGCCGGGACCCTGGGGACCTCCTCCCCAAGTCCTCCGCTGAGTTTTGGCAGCTGCGCCACGTCCTGCACGCCAAGCCTTTATTTCTTGCTCTGTTTTTTCATCCCTCCCTCCCTTTCTTGCTCTGCTTCTCCCTCCTTCCCTCCAGCCAGCAGCTCCTTTTCCCTCTTCCCTCCTCTCAGACCGCTTCATCCCTGCTATGGGGCCGCACCGTGCCCAGCTGGGGACCAGATCCCCGTGTAGTGGCAGGGGACGGGGACCAGGACCACATTTTTTCCCCCCTCACCGTGCTGCAGGGGTGGCAGGACCGATGTTAACGCACTGCTCTCCCCTCCAGGCCAGCCCCAGGTGCGAGCAGCCCCGCAGCCCCCCGGCCCCTGCACCCACCTGCTGCAGAACGGGGCCGGGCGAGGGCCGGATCCGGGAGGTGCCCTCGGGGACGCGGGGAACGGGGTCTTCCGCCCCCTGCCCAGCTCGCAGAAGCCTCACCGTAAGCTGCAGTCCCACCACTCCATCAACAGCCAGAGCAGCAAGAAGAGCAAGGGCAGCTCCAAGTCGGCTTCGTCCCACATCCCTATCGAGGCGCAAGAAGGTACCGGCTCTCCCCAGGGGGGGCCCTTCCCAGCTGGTTTCCTCCGGCCCCGCATCCCTTGGGGTTTCTCGTGTAGCACCCTTCCAGCTCACCGGGACCCCGGGTGTCAGCCCTGCTCCCCTCCTGGGACCCCACTGCATCTGCACCTCTTGCTCTTCCCCAGGGTTGGCACTGACCGGGTCATTTCATATCCCCCAAAATCTGTCTCTTCTGGGGTCTGGGCATGTCCCAGGCAGCAGAACTGGTGCCCAGGCATTGAGGCAGGTCCGTAGAGCGGTGCTGGGCTCCCGGCCCCTTCCCATTCCTTAATTCCCAGGGGAGAATTTCCATCCTCTGGGGGCTGAGTGTCTGCTCACCGGGTGCTGCCCCAGCCCATCTTGGGGTGTCAGCACCTCCCTGCCCTGTTCCCCTGCAGACTGCTGCGTCCACTGCATCCTCTCCTGCCTCTTCTGCGAGTTCCTGACCCTCTGCAACATCGTGCTGGACTGCGCCACCTGCGGCTCCTGCACCTCCGAGGACTCCTGCATCTGCTGCTGCTGCTGCAACTCGGGCGAGTGCGCGGACTGCGACCTGCCCTGCGACATGGACTGCGGCATCATCGACGCCTGCTGCGAGTCAGCCGACTGCCTGGAGATCTGCATGGAGTGCTGCGGGCTCTGCTTCTCCTCCTGAGGGCTGGAGGCAGCGGGAGGGAGGACGAGCAGGAGCGTGATTCCCCCTCCTGCAGAGCCCCCGAGCCCCGCCGGTGGGGAAAGCCGGGCGCGAGGCAGAGCAAAGCCTGGTGAGGGAGGAGAGCGCAATTCCCCCGTTGCAAACCTCGTCCTTGGAGCCTCTGAGCCCGCTCAGACCCTGTCTGGGGACAGTGCCTTCGGGCTCTACCTCTTCCCCACACGCCAAGGGTCGCGGGAGCACCCTGCCACCTGAGCCGAGCGCAGGAGCTCCCATCCCGCGCCCCCGCTGCCCGAGGAGGCTGCTCCAGGCACGGCGACAAAGGGGAGCCTGCAGCACCCTCACCCCTGGGACCCTCCAAGACTGGGTGCAGCTCCCCGGGGAGACCCCATGGACACCAAAACCTTCAGCCAGGCTGCGGGACTGGTGTTAGAGGGACGCAGCGCTGCCCCCCAGCACCTCCCCAGTGCTGAGATCGGCAGCCAAGTGCAATAAACGGCCCACGGCGGGGATCCCCCTGCAGCCAAGTGCCTTTGCCCCTGCCCGGTCCCTTCCTGCGGGGCCGGGGCAGCTGTGCCAAGCTGGCACCAACCCCATGAGCATCCCTTGGTGGGTCGGTTGGGGCCAAATGACCCCCAGCTGCCATCACCCCAAGGACGGGGCTCGCGGCTGGGTGAGGGTGGAGCACGCCCCCTTGGAGAGCTGGGGAGAAGGGGAGGGAGAATAAGTGTCATGGTATTATTATTATATATTTTTTTTGGTCCCTTTTGTTACTGTAAATAAAGGTCTTTCTTCATTTCTGACCGGGGGCTGCTGCATCACACGCTTCTCGAGGCGCTCCCAGGGGGGACCGTGCCCCCCATCCCTGCACCGTGTCCCCTCGTCTGCGCCGTGTCCCCTTGTCCCACCGCAGGGCATGGGGGCTCAGGCAGGAGCTGCAAGGCTTTCCAGCCCCTGAGATGGCTCGGTGACAACCCTGGAGCTCTGCCCTTCACCCCTCACTTCCCGCAGGGGCACGGGGTCCTTAAAAGAGAAAATCAAAATGCCAATTCCCAGCTGTGGGGCTGGGAGGGCGCAGAGTGCCCGGGGTTTGGAGGGTGCTGCGGGAGGTGGCAGCCAGCCAAATTTGGTGGCCTGGGTGCTCTTGTGCCACCCACCCAGCCCTGCCATGGGACCGTGGGAGCCGTGCCGTGCCATGGGCCGTGCCGTGCCGTGCCAGCAAGAGATTTTGACCCCCCCCAAAGCCTCGTGGCCCCTCGGGGTCCCGACTGCCCTGGCGAGGCTGCTGGCTGGGCTGCAGTTGAGCAAGGAGGGAAAAATGCTTAAAAGCCGAGGCCAAATGGGTCAGTTGGTCACAGTGACACAGGCTGGTTTGGGATCTGGGCTGCCTGCCCTCCGGGGCTGCGGCTCAGCCATGAAACCTATTTTTAGTGGTGAGCGCAAGGCGGCCGGAGCCCAGCGCAGGGCAAGTGCACGGAGGGGAAGAGGACGGTGCGAGCAGCCTTCCTCCACCCCACCCATGGGATTCAGGGTGGCAAATCCAGCCTCAAACCCTTCCCAATATTCAGCTGAGCCCCGGGACGAAGAACTGGGGGGGCTGCACTTCGCTGCCTGCTCCGGGACGCGGACGGGAGCGGGGCCCCATCGCGGAGCCGGTGGGAGCTTTGCCACAGGCTCTGGCTGCGGCTCGGCTCCAAGCCGTTCGCATCCTTGGCAAGGAGGGACGGAGGCGCCGGCCTTCCCCAGCCTGGCCTCACTCGTGGTGCTAATTAGGGAGGTTGGAGCTGGCAGCACCCCACCAGCCGCGGTAACGAGCGCTGCTGCCGGAGCCGCTTAATGGGGAACAGATTCCCCGGTGCGGGACGGCCCCGTGGCTGGTGGTGCCGTGCTACTTGTGTCCCAGATCCTCCCCTCCCTGCGGGGAGGGTGGCACGCACCCCACGCACCCAGTTTCCCCAGTTCCAAAAGCCCTTTGGAACTGGGAGCGATTCCACGCTGCCCCCAAGGAGCAGGTCCTCAACCGCTGGAGGGGGGGAGCAGCGCCGGGCTCTGCGCGGAGCACGATGTGCTGCTGAGTGTATGTGATATTCACGCCTACAAATGTACTTTAGTGAGGGCTGCTTCCAAAAAAATGCAAATAAAAGAGCACCCGGTGCCTCCGCAGGGCTACCCAAAGGCGCAGCTCAGCCCTGCCAAGTGATGCTCTGCCCCCAGGAGGCCGACGTCCGCTGGCTTTATTGGGCACTGGCAGGGGCACGGCCAGATTTTTATTTTAAACCTTTTTTTTTTCCAAGCCTGGGTTTGGAAAAAAAAAGCATGTGCTACCCTGGGCAGCGCTGGCTGCTCTGCTCATACCCCAGCTGCTCCTGAAAATTGGCTCGGGGGCACTGGGATGTGGCAATGAGGGAGCCGAGCTGCCCAAGCGCCTGGCAAGGGCTCGGGAAGCAAAGCGCAAACCTTCCTCTGGATGCGAGCTGCTGCTGGCCGTGCACCTTGCAAAGCACCGGGGGGAGGCAGGGGTTAACCCTCCTGCCTGGGAATTAATTAACAGCAGATGTGCTCAGTTTTTAACTAATTACTCTCCTGCCAGCACTTGGTTTTCACGCTTCCCTTGCAAGCTGCTGGGAGCTGGGCGCCGTCACACCGTGCCCAGGCAGGTGCTGGCCCTGCGGACTGGGCTGTGCTGGGTGCCCGGGCTCATCCGTGTCCTCCCCCCAGCCCAAATGGGGTCCTCACCGAAGGAATTCAATGAAATGGGCTAAAATTCATTAAACTATTGAGCGCCTGCAATAGCTTCACTCTGTTAAAGCTCGGTGACCGGCTCCCAAAGTGACTTGGGTCTGGGATGGGGATGTATGTGGTGGGCGTATTGTTCATCCCATATGGGGCTGTGCTGCTGGGGTAACCCCTGCCCCCCTGCTCCCTGATAACCCAAAGCGTCTCCCCAAAACCTCACCCAGGGCAGGGAGAGCCGCAACACTCGTTGCCTTCGGGGCTTTCGTTTGCCTCTCTCTGTGGGCAATTTATTATGGCTGGGACATCGAATGTGTTACTCATGGAAGTTTATTATCGAGCGTTGTCAGCGGGCAGCACGCTGTGTAGGGATGCAGCACCCATCAGGATACGGCCAAGCCCCTCCGGCCCCATCGCTGAGGGCAGCAGGAGGATGCTGGGGGGGGATGCGGATGCGCCTCTGCTCCTTCGGTGGTGATTGCTTTCAGCAGCCCAGGCTATTTCTGTCTACAATCACAATCAATAAAGCAAGTGAGAGGGTTTTTATTTTTCCACTCCAAATACTTTCTTCATCCTGTTTCCTCCCTGTTCACACGGCGGACTGGGGCGCGCTCCAGCAAGGAGGCCCACGGAGCCGTCTCCTCCTTCCTCCTCACCACCGGTCCCGTCCCTGCTCCCACTCCTGCTCCTGCTCCTGATCCCACTCCTGCTTCTGCTCCCACCCCTGCTCCACGCTCCCCATCCTGGCCCCGTGCAATCCCTGCCCCATCCAACACACCGCAACCACAGGGGCAGGTTTGGCAGGAAGCGAGAGGACAGCATTGCACGTGTGCATGTGCGCACACACACACACACGAAAACCCTGCCAGAACCAAAACCAAAAAAAAACCACCCTAGAACTAGGGCTCTGGAAGATGCGGCAGCTCGTGTAATCCCCAATTCTGCTGGGCTGCCTTCGCAGCGCGGCGATGGGGGGACGGGCCGAGGGGAGCCGACTGCAGTCTATTAAACTTCCTTTGAGAGCCTGCCAGACTGACAACAGCTGGAAGGAATTAGCTTTGCAGGTCCACCAGCTCCTCTCCTCGCTTTCACCCTTCCCCAAAAAAGCAGCTTGAGGCCGCGGGCCTGACAGCATCACTTTTTCCCCGCTCTCCAAGATCCCTGGCGTCCCGCGGGATCTGCTCGGCGCTGCTTTCGCCTTTGATCCCAAACCTGCAAGGAGCGCGAGCATCCGACGGAGGAAAAATCCCAGGACCTTCAGTGATGGCTAAGCACTGCCATCCTGCATGAGTGCAAGGTGCTGGAAAGGGTTTTTTGGGCAGTGACCCCCCCCCAGGAGCCTGTGTTCACCATCACTGCTCGGTGTCCTGGTGCTGTGCGCGTACCCGTGCCAAGGGGGGACGCTCGGTGCCGGTTCCTGGGGTGCCAGCCCCTTTGCTCCACGCTGCAGTGGGTTTTGGGAGCAGGGTGTGACAGCCCCACACTGCTGTTGCCAGTAGGGATTACCCAGAAATGTCTCTTTTCCCTGGGGTAGGGGGGTGCAGAAGCCGTCTGAGCTCGGCGATATGTGCAGCAGTGCAGAATTGGCCACCACTGGAGGGTTTCGCTGCCAAAGAGCGAGCTGCCTGCAAGCACTGCCTCCTCCAGCCAGCCTCGGGGGCCGGGACCCAAGCGGAGACCATATATCTCCCCGTTCTGCCTTGCTACCAAGTTGGAGAAGGAAAATGCAGGAGGGGTTGTGTTAACCCTCTGCTGGGTGCCTGCGGAGGAGCGGAGTGGAGCCGAGCAGCCCCGCGAGCCTCTCGCACGCTGCTAGACACCCAGCAGGGAGGGCAGGACAGGGCTTTGCCCCCCAAAAAAACACCGAGACCCCAGGGACACACCATGGGATGAAGGCAGGGTGTGCAGCACAGCCGGACCAAGGTCCCCAGGGGTTATAGACACGTGCCCATGGGCACAGACACCCAGGGAGCAGCCGTGGGGTGGCCGGATCCTGCCCCAGCAGCGCTGCTGCTGCACGTCCTGTCCCGGGCTGGTTGCATCCCCTAGGTCCCTACCTAAGAGCCACGTCCTGGGTCCTCTGTAAGTGCAGAGCAGGGGAAACGTGGCCAACAAAATTCAGAGTGAGTTTATTTTCATTTGACTAACGTTTCTCACACCTTCAGTGCCTCGATGCACACAGCTCTGTGCACCAAAGGCACCCCTGTGCCTCTCCTCTCCCCTATTTCATCTGAGGAGCCGACGCAAGCTCCATCAGCTCAAGCATCTCCTTCTTTCCTGCTGGCAGAAGCTGCAGCCCTTGCAGCAGTGGCTTCCCCGTGTCCCCTCGTCCCTCTCCGATGCTGAGGGTCCGCGTGCGACACTGCCGGGCTGGGGACCGACCTCGCAGAGCCAGCAGAGCTGTCTCCACGCGGCCCGTCAGGAAGAGGTGCCTCATAAACCCAAATAGTGATTTCCTGCTGCAGTCGGTGGGAGTTGTTTTCTTTAAAAACGCAGCTGAAACCGGAGAGGAGACGGAGTTAGCTGAAATATCTGGGAGCTGGGGAGCTCGCCGTGCCGGGAGACAGCTCCGGCAGCCAACACACACACACACATGCGCAGGCACCCGCCGGGGATGCCAACATTTGAAAGCCATTAACGGGAATATCTGGGGAGGAAAATCCAGCCCTACCTTTAACCCCACACCGAAACGCACCGAACGGCCGCGGTGAGTTATAGAGTGAAAAAAGCGGCACCGTTTTTTTATTTTATTTTATTATTTTTTTTTTTTTGAGACCAAAGCGCTCGTCCCTCCCAGCGCAGGGAAAGTTGGCACACACTGCGCACACGTGCGTGACAGAGCAGGAGGCAGCCGGGCGCCTCCCACGCATTAAATTCGCTCCTCTTTACGTGCTCGGCCTCGTGTGGGCTCCCACTCACACCCACTGCACTGCCCTGTGTGCACAGATGTCGGGGGGAGGGCGAGCTGAGCCCCCTGCCTCCTCCGTCCATTCATGTGTGTGCGTGAGACGGACCCTGCGAGATGCCAGAGAGTCTGGCAGGGGTGTGTGTGTATACAGACAGACACGTA